GACGAGCACAAACACCCAACAGGCTCTCTCTCCCCACACTCAGCTTGGGATGCTCAGCAGCAAAAAGGGGAGGTACAACAGGACACAAACAGAAAGACTAGTTTTTAAATATCAAGCACTTTCTCTATCATAGCAACTCCCTTCGGAAAATAAAAATCAAGGACTTTATCCAAACCCTCTAATTTACAGAAGAACTTCCTTTTAAATTTGCTCAGAATGTTACCAAGATTACACCCAAGTAATGGCTGGCAGCAGTGAAGAAACTACTCTATTTCATAGTATTTATGGCTGTGGTTTTGTCCACAAACCTACTGCCCACAACAGGCAGGATGATCTTCTCAAAGGTTTTGCTTATCTGTCTGTTCCCCAACTACTCAAGGAGCCAAGCACAGGAAAGATAATATTGACTTTCCCGAGGTATCTGTAGGGGCAGGACTCTCTCAGCGCTCGCTGGCGCGAGGATGAGGAGTTATAAGCTGCAGTGATTGCGGGGGCAATTTGTGTTAGACCAGAGGAGAGCGGGGTGGTGGGACAGCCTGCCCGGGTGGCACTGGGGGGATCTGAGAGGGGAAGCCCCCCAGAGCCAGTCCAGGGAAACCCACAGCCCCCCAGAGCCCCGGCCAGCAGAAGAGAGGGGGCACAGCTCTGATGGAATGATGGGGTGTGAGGCTGAGAACGGGTCAGAAAACAGCAACACCAAAGGCCACATCAGAACCCAGGCTGCCCTGTCACAAATCCTGTCTCCTCTTTACCAGCAACAGTCATAAGCTGCCACGAGGTGTAATTGCGCTACGCACAGTGTTAGATTCATCAGGCAGTCACAGCCATTAATAACGCCCCCCGGCCTGATGAGCAGAGAGGACTCACACTCTTGGTGTCCTTCATTTTCCAGCAGACCACGGACAAATCCCACAGTGGATCACAGAAGCCATTTCTTGCCTCCTGCACAGACTCAGGCGCGCGTTACATCACTTATCACTAGCAGTTATCATTAGCAAAGGCTGCTTTCTTCTAATTAGCACTGACTTGTGCCTTTCATCTCATCCCTACGCTTCAAGGCCAGCAGCAGTGCCAGCTCACCTCACAAAGCCCCCCAAGTCCTTCACACAGCCACTGCCAGGGATGAACCCAGCAGAGATGAGACTCCCCCCAGCCCGAGAACACCCCACAGGCACAAAAGAACAAGTCTAAGGGCTATTATTTTCTCTAGCTTTCTCCCTAAGTGAGATACAGTAAATTTTCCCTGTGTCCTGTCCACAGCATGTTGAATCCAACATGCTGCTCAAAAATCCATTCAGAATAATAATTCAAAAAACCCAATGCAGAAAAGGGGGGAACTTATTGTATTCCCCTTTTCAAACATCACTGTGGACATTGTGCTGATACACAGGACATGCCCCACAGCCCGGAGGTGTCACACCTGGCCTGGCCCCACCAAATCCAAACGTGTTTTAAAAATCCTGACAGAGCACTAGAAACTATTTCCTCCCTAAATCCAGCTCCAGCAGCATCACCCCACGCAGACAAGGGCTCCCCCAGATAATTAGACCGTCACCCACCAGAGGCACGTGGTGCAGGAGCCAGACACTGGGCATCTCCCCATCAACAGCTGCCCTGAGCCACCTACCAACACCTGGGAGGGAAATAAATTGAGAAGGAAACTTCACCAGAGCACAAATTTACGTATCTGTCAAAGTAGAGTGGCTGACAGCTATTTTTGGAAACTGGTCTCCATCATATTAATTCAGCGTCTGGTTGAAGTTGTCTCATTTGCAGCAAATCTGGCTGGTAAATATTAACCTTGGGCTTTGTTGAGATTCTCCTTGCAGATACTACAAGGGATGGGATGGAAAAGACGAAGCAAATGTCAGGCAGATCCTCCCCGTCATGGTTTCATTTACACAAAAGCCATTGCAATGCACCACGAGGCAAATGGCACGGCTCACGCCTGGCAAAATTAAGGGTAAAAAGACACCGGTGCTGAGAAGCCCAGGGAAATGGAAATGGGAATGGAGAGATGATCATCCACAGGGCAGCGGGACTCCTCGCCCGTCTGCGGGAAATGGGCTTTAAGATGGGAGGAAGCACAGACCAGCATCTGGCTGTGGATAGATATTAGACAAGAAATGCAGCCTAAATGCATTTAGTGACAGAACCTCTCCTCCCATTTGAGGGGAGATGTTGAACAGATCTCACTAGAGCTGCTGGTTCCACCCCAGAGGTGGCTGCAGCTCAGCCACCAGGGACCTGATTCACCAGAACCCCCAGAACGGGCTCCCTCGAAGGGCTGCGAGAGAGGGAGGGATGGGAAAAAGGCTTGGCTTTCCTGCAGCAGTAATTAGCAGTGCCGTAAATCCTATTTAGTCCTTTTTCATCTCTCCTTATTTCAGCGTGAGGATACAAACGCTCTCTCAGCAGCGGGATGATTTCAGCCCTTAAATCACGGTTACAGGGGCAGTTGCTCTGTGATTTAGTTCAAACAGCTTCACCAGTTCAGTGGGAAATAAAGCTGGTTCTTCCTGCAGAGACTTCCAGCAAGTCCTGGGAGAAGATGGAAGGAAAAGGGAGAGGAGCAGGAGCTGGGAAGCAGCACCCAGGACAGTCTGGAGACCCCCTGAGCCATCCCTGCACCCCAAAGCTCCTTCAACCAACACAGGGTCCAACCTCCCATGGCCAGAAGAGCTGTGACAGCGACTGTGGCCAGGCAAGGAGGACCCAGCAGACTCACACCCAGTGAGTCCCAACACACTTGCACCCGCCGAGCCCCCCAAAGCCCCCCAAAGCCACTGCCATGGGACCATGAAGCCAGGATCACTGTGCCATCCCCTACCTGTTTCAACCTCCCCAAGCTCTCACCAGGTTTACCTGCCTCCAGCTCAAGGGCTTTTGTCCTTCTTGAAGAATTTCCGCAGCCCCGGATGCTTTCATCACAAATCTTTTATTCGCTTGGTGCTATGCTAATGCAGGGCTCAAAAAAAAAAACCCAAAAACTTCCAACCCTTAAAAACTATTTTCTGGTATTTGACCAGACATCAGACACTGCTCCGCAGAGAGTGACTAATGACCTGCTTTCTGTGAAGGCGGGGGGAAACTTAATTACGTCCATTAAATTACTTCAAATATTTTTCCTTAGAGAATATGAATTATTTAAACTCAACACAGAGAAACCTGAAACATTAGCAAAAGCCGCCTGGGACTCGCTATGTAAATTCCCACTCCAAACAGATGGGGAAGGCATGGCGAGCTGCCACGCAGCCACTGGAGCAGTGACAGCACTGAGATTTCAATTCAATAGCTCTAATAAGGTCTTCTTAAGGAGGGCACTGAGCGAACAGCCACTGCCCGGGGCGCAGGGAAAGGCCTCCCTCACGCTAGAGGAAAGGGGGCACAATTTAAATCTGAAAAGCCTCAGGTAACCTAAAGGCCAGCCCCAATTCCTGAGGAAAAGCTCATGCTCCCACCGCACCACACACGCTGAACACAGGGAACTGAACCTCCTTGGGACTCACGTAGCTGATTTCCTCTCGATCCATTTTCTACCAGGGGAAAAGGCAGAGGTCCAAGGTATCACATGGACACCAGCCACGGGCAGTGAAGGGTGGTCTCAGCCGTGTCTTACTGAAGAAAACATCTCTCACACATCCCATCTGGTGGTCTGACCTCTCCCCTGACCACAGCACCTTCAATAACTGCCAGTTAATTGATAGCCAATTACACCTTTTGGAGCAGAAAAGCCCCCGGGTGCTGAGGGACGAAGGAACAGCCGTTCCAGGGGTGGGAGATGCACACCCACCACCCCACACACAGAGCACCCACCCCAGTGGCATCGCCGCCGGATCCCGCTGGCACCTGATGGGCAACAGAGGCAGCCGAGACCATGCTGGGCTGGGATGAGGCCCTGGCCACTGCCTGAAGCAGGAAGGTGCCCAGGAGGAGGCACCTCTCTCCTTTCGGAGCCTCACACACCCTGAGAGGAGATCACAGCATCCCGAATCCTGTGCTCCCAGGGCTGATCCCCTGCCTGGCTCTCATTTGCCTTTGCAAGTGAGATCACAGAATCCCAGAATCTTCTAGGTTGGAAGGGCCCTTAAAGATCATCTTGTCCAACCATCAACCTAACTGACAAAAATAGACACCCACACAACAAACAAGGAGCATCATCACTAAACCAGACCTCCCAGCACTACATCACCCCCTCTTTTGAACACCTCCAGGGATGGTGCCTCCACCACCTCCCTGGGCAGCCCAGTCCAATGCCGTATAACGCTTTCAGTGAAAAAATTTTTCCTAATATCCAGCCTGAACCTCCCCTGGTGTAACTTGAGGCCATTTCCTCTTGTCCTGTCGCCTGGGACTTGGGAGAAGAGACCGACCCCCACCTCTCTACACCCTCCTTTCAGGGAGTTGTAGAGAGCAATAAGGTCTCCCCTCAGCCTCCTCTTCTCCAGGCTGAATAACCCCAGCTCCCTCAGCCTCTCCTCATAAGACTTATTCTCCAGACCCCTGACAGTGGTCACAGCACCAGGTTCATCAGAGGGATGCTAAGATACCTGCTAAGGTAGAGGCTACATCCATTTTTACAGCTATCCTTAAATGTAACCTTGTGAACTATAAAGTCACCGAATTACTCAGTTGTGTCTAAAGCATGACAGCGGGGATATTAATGTGCTAGAGTCATTTTACAGTTCCAGATAAAGCTGTGGGAAAGGCCTGGCTGTATTCAGAGCTCTGGCACTTCTGCCCAGCCAACACCGCGCTGCAGAGCCGCGACCGGCAACGCGCCCCATTTACCCAATTACCACCCTTCAAATTAAGGCTGTAGCCGGGGAGCAGCAATCAACTAAAAGAGCCATATTGCTGACAAAAGGCAATTCCTCTTCTCCGAGCCGTGCCGGGCGCCCGGGAGCAGTCTGGCAGCAACGGGGACTGACACAGAGAGAGCAGAGAGAGCAGAGTTGCAGAGAGAGCAACTGCCAGAGGACACCCACAGTCCCTTTTACCTCTGCATCCCCCGTCCTTCTCCTCGAAGCCGGGACCACACGTGCACTTCCCGATGGGGACCAGCCACTCGCCCTCCGCGCTGCAGTGCATCCGGGGGGGATTGTCCACATCCACCTCGGCGTGAGCCACACAAGTGCCCTTCACTTCCACCAACGTCGCGAAGGCCGTCTCCGCCACCGTGTCTGGAAACAGGGCCAGGTTCTGCAGGGTGGCCAGGCACTTCTTGTAATAAACCCGCACGGAGACCAGCGCCACGCAGGCGCCCACATCCTGGAAACCCAGGTGGAAACCTCTCTTGGTGAGGTGCCCAATCTCCCTCAGCTCCGTGTTCAGCTTCATCTTACGCTCCCCCAGGTCGCCCTGCGTGAAGCTCTCATCAGCAGCGATGGTGTCGATCTTGGTGTGCTTGCTCTCGTGGACGCTGCGGCCCAGGTCGGAGTCAGACTCGACGTAGTAGAGGTTGAAGGTCTCCTTGCAGCTGCCTGTCACCCCGGGGATGCTGTTGCAGTCCCGCAGAGTGAACTTCAGCTCGATGAAGATCCTCTGCCCGTCGCGCCTGGCGATCCAGCCTGTCTGCAGCCAGTTGTTCTGGTTTGGCTCCATGACGTTGCAGACCTGGTAGGTGCGTATGGGCTTGTAATTCTCATCCACGCCGCTGATCTCTTCCCACTGGGGAAAGAACACAAAGGGCTGTTACAGCCCGGGAGCTGCCGTGAGCAAGCACCAGCCACCCTGCCAAAAACACACCCATCAGCATAAATATCACCAGCACCAGCCTCTCCACCTACAGGCCAGTACATTACTGGCACTAGAAGTCCTCAGCCCACCAAAACCATGGCTGAGGAACTCATGGTGCTGGTGGACCACCCATCACCTGCCAGAAAGAGGGCACTGGCACCAGACCCTCTAAACCAAAGTCTAACATGAAACTGGACACATCAATTGCTGAGCAGCCAGAGCCTTCAACTCCCACCCCCCCCCCAGATTTTCTGTCCCCAGGAAGGTGCATCTGCTCAGCATCAGCACCGGTGTAAGGCCAGGGGAGCTGGGCTACCCAGGGAAGTCAAAGCTGGCCAAGGAGATGTGACGACAGTCACACCATCACACAAGGACAAGCATCTTCGTGAAGAGCAGCAGCTTCTCTGTCAGGAGAAGTTTTAGCTAGAACAGGACAAATCCTCTGGCTGTGAGTGAAACGGTATTTCCCCAAAGTTACCAGCAGAGATTCCGATTAGTGAAATGATGATTCAACCCCTCACAGCCTTAAGGATGACCTGGCAACTTCCCAAAGCAGTTCTTTCTGGGGGTAAATTTATACAAGATTGCCAAACGTAGCCAAAACAGAGTTTCTTCTGCAGACTGACAGCTGGGCAACACAGATGACTCCAGGATCTATCGCCATTCCCTCTGAACGGTTTGTTTCCATTCTGGAAAATAATCCCAAAGTAGGAAGGAACGAGTTCCCCAGCACACCCTCTTGAAGGGAGCCTGATCCCAGCAGCAAAGCAAGGACCTGATCAGACAAACCCTGCACGATGTGGAGCCCCCGGTGACCCCCCAACCAGCCACAACCCTTCCAAGAGCCGAGCTGAGCCCAGGGGCTGGCGCTGGGTGCCAACTGTGATACAGGGGCTTCACTGGTGGGGGTTTGTTCACTTCAGGAGTGTAAATCCCATTCAGAGGAGCTGCTCCACAGCCGTGGCACTGCTCACACAACCAGCACTTCACCCCTCGCCCCCCTCCCGGGGGGGTCCCCGGTGCCAATCGACCACACAGCTCACACCGAGCTGCCCCCGGTGCCCCCATGGCCACCAGCCCCCTCCTCCAGCTCCACGTGGGGACATGAAATGGTGCTGAGTGACACAGGGCAGCGCAGAGGGACAGTCCCCCCCTCACACTCACCCCGTTGGACGGGTGCGAGGTCCAGCCCAGCTCCGCTTGCGATTCCTTCGAGTCCAGCAGGACAACTGCAGGGGAGACAACGCGTTAGAGGGCAAACTCACCGCCCCAGCAGACACCAGTAACATCCCCCCGGCTGGAAACTCGTTTCCCTGTGCCCTTCCCAGTCCCCCACCGGCCCCAGCGGTGGGTCAGGTCCCAGAGTGTGGGGGCAGCTCCCACCCCATCACCCGGCAAGGCTCAATACTCGAGGCTGCGGACCCTCGTAATGAGGCAATTAGCACCCGAACCTAATGAGTGGGGACATGAAATGGTGCTGAGTGACACAGGGCAGCGCAGAGGGACAGTCCCCCCCTCACACTCACCCCGTTGGACGGGTGCGAGGTCCAGCCCAGCTCCGCTTGCGATTCCTTCGAGTCCAGCAGGACAACTGCAGGGGAGACAACGCGTTAGAGGGCAAACTCACCGCCCCAGCAGACACCAGTAACATCCCCCCGGCTGGAAACTCGTTTCCCTGTGCCCTTCCCAGTCCCCCACCGGCCCCAGCGGTGGGTCAGGTCCCAGAGTGTGGGGGCAGCTCCCACCCCATCACCCGGCAAGACGACTGCAGGGGAGACAACACGTCAGAGAGCAAACTCACTGCCCCAGTAGACACCAGTAAACATCACCCCGGCTGGAACCGCGTTGCCCTGTGCCCTTCCCAGTCCCCCACCGGCCCCAGCGGGGGGTCGGGTCCCAGAGTGTGGGGGCAGCTCCCACCCCATCACCCGGCAAGACTCAATGCTCGAGGCTGCGGACCCTCGCAATGAGGCAATTAGCACCCGAACCTAATGAGGCTGACACCCCAGGGAAGGCTGCAGCCCCTCCCGAGGGACCCCGCAGGACCATCCGCCCGGCACCACCCCCGCGCCCGGAGCCTGCGGGGCCCCTGGAACCGAAAAGCCCCGGCGGCCGCTTTGAGCCACGAATCTCCGTGAGACCCCGCAGCCCCTTCCCCCAAACCCGCCGCTTTCCAGGAAGAGGCATTTCCCCCAAAATTCACAGCTCCGCCACCCCCCCCCCTCCACGGCCGCCCCCGACGGGCGAGTGCCGTCTCCTCCCGGGCTCCCGACACCGGGTACAACCGGCGGCGCCGCCGCATCCCCGGTCGCTCCCTTTGCAACCAGCGGGGGGGATGTCACCCTGCCCGGCACCGCGGCCCCGGCACGCACCGAC